CCCCAAAACCCCAAAACCCCAAAACCCCGACAATTTAAAATACAAAAATAATAGGATTTGATTGCTGAAAATAAAATAAAACTTCTAGTTATTTCAAGATAATAATGAAAATGGTAAGTAAGAAGAATACTCTGATTTATTAACCTTTTAAACTATATTAATTTTTCTAACTTGAATGCTAATGACATCTACTTTGTAGGCTGTTTACTTTAAACCTCCTTATGAGCCAAGAAATCCAGAACTAGTAATTGTAGAGAATAAAAAAGCTCCTTTGTTAAAAGAAGTCTTAAGTGAGAAACATTAGCCCTTCCACAAATACTTAAATCCGAGGCCATCAACAGCTACATCCTCTGTCTATTCTTATACGACTGGTACTTCATCTAGATAATCTGCAGATCCATATTCTACTGTTAGTCAATAAAGAAAGAAGAAAACTTTCTCGTTGTTCAACTCAGAGGAGAAGTAGAGAAAAATAAGAATAGTTAATGAAAGAAACAGAAAATCGAGAGTAATAAATGAAAGAATTTATCAATAGAATAGAGCTAGATCAGGCTTAAAACAAGAAAAACTGCAGGTTAATTAATAAAACAGCCATAAACTGACTAGAAATGAGATAATGTAGCTATCTTCAACATAGAAAAAAGAATTTTTTGAGAAGCTATTGGATTTAGATATAAAAAGGGAGTATATACCAGATCATAAGCAGCATCATTTAAAAATTAGAGGAGGCACGCATGCCTGGAGAAGTGACTTGAGGGATTATAAGGATGTTAAGAAAATAACTGTAGTTAAGTCGCCTGAACAACGAAAATCGATAGCATTACAAAGAAACACAATGACTTTCGGCTATTCACCATAATACGTTGAATAGCAAGTGCAAACAATCAAGTCAGTATTCAAACCTATATTGAAGGATGAATAACTTTCAGCTATTTTCCCTGATGAGCAATGAGATGATATCAGATTAGGAATCTACTTTGAATATGATAATTTGACATAAGGTTTAAATTAATCTTTAATTTGTTGATTTGATTTCATAACTTGATTGCAATATTCTATATAAAGTCAATTATCATATCAATTAAATCATATATATCATTAGTAGGGGGCTCATTATAATCTCTTCATTGTAACTTAGTTTTCATCAATGGAAATAATATGTGATTGATTATGCTTATGAGCACTTCCATGAATACTGCCATAGTCATCATCTACTACTTTCCATTTATTTTGTACTCCTCCAGCATTATTAGTGAACTGGCTTTGACTATGATGATGATGTTTAGGTGTCTACTATTGTGATTAAACCTATTTTATGCTGTTATTCTATTGTGAAGCATGACTTCTGGCTGAGTTAAGTTCCATGTAAGGATCTATTTTAGGATTATTCTCTTAACCTCCAATTTTGATGTCTAATGGCAGTCGCTTGTAGGCTTAAGAACTAAATGCATCTTTTTCTACAACTTGATAGAGCCTGTTGATTCTATCATTGTCTTCTTATAAGCCATTAACTTACTTTCTTAGCAAAGCTTAGTCTCTATCGATGGCATCTATCTTTTACTTCAGATACTCATTCTCAGCACCTAACTTAGTATTTTCATCCTTGTATTTTTCAATGTATCTTTCCTAGTATTCTAAATCTCTCTTTAATGTTGAGCATTTTCCATTCAAGAAATTTATTTCATTTCTGTACTGCACTGAAGATTATTCTTAAAGATTGAATTTATTCTGAAGATCTTACTTATCAGAGTCTTTTCTTATTAATTACTATTCTAATTCGTTTATTCTGTCAATGAAAACCTTCTTGTCTGCTGTATAAGCGCCCTTGACTGACTGTAATCTCTCATATTCTTATTTGAGTTTGTCATGATCAGATTAAACTTCCTGCAATTTCCTTTCAAGATCTCTTTAAGCTATTAGTTCACCCTCGGACTTGACTTAATCTAATCTCATGAATTCTTATTCTTTCTCTTAGAAGTCTTTTAGTAGTTTAACGTATTCCTTTATGTCTCTCTTAAGTGTGTCATTTTCAAATTCTAAGTCATTAACTTGCTATCTCAGGTTATCGATCTCGTCATTAATTGGTTTACCTCCTCTAAGGAAATCAATTTACTAAGCAAGTCTATGATTTTCTTTGTTCAAGAAATCTATTTAGTTTTGAAGTTTAGCGATAGTTCTCTCATTTGTCTCATGAACAAATCTAACATTCAATTTTTCAAGGTTTTGACCTCCTTCGTATAGATTATGAAGTCTTCTAATTTCCTCCTCTCTAACAGTCAATTACTTTTCAAGAGTCTCAAGTTTATTTTCAATGTCATGTCTCTTTTTATTGGCTTGTTCTAGTTTTTGCATAAAATTTTAGGATCTTTCATCGGCTTTTGCTAGCTCATCTGCCCACTTTTTGTTATCATAATCCTTATTCATAGTCTGATTAAGGTGATTGTTTCCAAGTGGGTAATGAGATTCATCATTGACAAGCTCTGATATATCCTAATTATATCTCTTAAGAGGTGAAGACATTTGGAAATCTTGATGTTTGCCTTGCATAAGTATATTCATCTCGCCTCTTTCATTGATATTTGGAGCTAGGCCCTCAATTACTTCGTCTTGCTCACTCATATACATCTTTGACATAACTTTCTCATATTTACTCTTCATTTTAGTAAGATCAATGTCTTGCTTCTTGATCTTAATGTCTTTTTAATCGACCAGGAATCTGAGGTCTTAACATTCATTCGTTATTTGGCGCATTGCTGACTTCCATTTTAAATCCAACTGCTCCAGTTCCTCTTTGGCTTTGATTATATCAAAATGAAGGACATTGCTTTCCTTTGATAATCTCTCGTTCTCTTTTTGCAGAGGGAGGAGTGCCTATTAATTCAGCTTATTTTCATTGTTAACAATAGCCAGTTCATTTTTAACTTTTTAATAAGCTTCAGTTGTTTTCAGGAGATCAGTCAGTAATCTTTCAACTAATGCTGAGCTTTCAATGTCTATAAGGATAGTTAGAAGTGTATTCAAATATATGTAATTGCATGTATTTTAAATGAGAGTGAATTGCATAGGCCTAATACTTACTGAATGGTTAACTGTAGTGAAGTTAATCTAATTACTATTTTATCGATTGGTAACGTTGATTAGCGATGGCGTCCATTTTATATAAGTCAATACCTCTTTTATTTAAGTTTGAATTTAGAAAGTTGTTAAAATATTTCTATATAACTCTGATACTTTAGAGATGGGGTTTTGGGGTTTTGGGGTTTTGGGGTTTTGGGGTTTCAGTCATTTAG